AACGAAAAGACTATAACCAAGATGGTAAGTTCAACCTACGTGAGTAATTTTATTATTTCCCCAAATGCCACTAAAACAATAATAAAGGGGCTAAAAAATAACATCCAGGGGTAAGAAAGATAGGGAGAAAGAGCAGCTAAGGTATGCTGGAAGTTGGTAGAAGAGTAGAAGAGTATTTTATTTTATTTATTTATTTTTTTGCCGGTTGCGGGGCCTGAACTCTGGGCTTGGGAAAGGCTAGTGCTCTACCACTTGAGCCACAGTGCCACTTCTGGCTTTTTTTTGCTTATGTGGTACTGAGGAATCGAACCCAGGTCTCATGCATACAAGGCAAGCACTCTACCACTGAGCCACCTTCCAGCCCAGAAAATAATTTTTAAGATCTCAGAATCTTAAGCAAGCCAACCATCAACCCAGTTGTAATCCAGAATCCAGTACTTCTTTTCTATATTGGTGACACCAGATAGCTATGGAGGTGGGGATCAAGCAGGGACATTGAAATAAAGATTTTTTTTTTGGGGGGGGGGGTCCGGTCGTGGGGCCTGAACTCTGGGCCTGAGTGCTGTCCCTCAGCTCTTCAGCTCAAGGCTAGCGCTCTACCACTTGAACCACAGCGCCACTTCTGGCTTTTTTTCTTTTGTGCTTATGTGGTACTGAGGAATGGAACCCAGGGCCTCATGCATTCAAGGCTAGCGCTCTACCACTGAGCCACCTTCCCAGCCCTGAAATAAAGATTCTTTGAAAGTAGGTTTAAGAAGTATTAGGCTCCTTCCTTCACTCTGGGAAGCATAGGCTTAGGTTCTACAGCCACACAAATGCAGGCTACTTTTTCTTTATTTTGAGATACCAGGGATTGAACCCAAGACCTCACACATGCTACACAATCACTGAGCTACACAGTCTGCAGTCAGGCTTCCATGCTCTAGGCAGGAGGATAGAAGCCTTCACTTCCAGTCAGAATGTTTTTCCCAACTAAGTAGCCGGTCCAAAACAATTACAGTGACACTGACTATCCATAAGCTCCTCCACACCCAGTCTCCTACTCTTACACATGACCAGACAAATAAAAATTATCAAACAAAGGGAAGAAGACACAGCAAAACAGCTAATTAAAGGGAAAAATTGCAGAGAGAAGAAAAATTCAGACACCTATCATTAATAGCATGAAAGGAAAAAGAAAACAAGCTAATGCAATTACAAAATAAGGCACAAGAAATAATAAAGGATCTTCAGAGGAAAAAGTTACAAGTTAAATATGACAGAAGAAGCAACAAAAATGCATGCGAAATCTGGCAGATACAGCTGAAGGCAGTAGAGAAAATGAACACGATGAAATACAAGGCAGATGATAAGTCACTCAGAGAGACAATAAAGGACATTCAAACAGCAAGAATGAAAAAACAGAGGGAGGAAACTCATCCATCAAGCAAATTAAAGACTGCTTCCAGAATTGAATACGAACTTCTAGCTTGAAAAGATCCACTAAGTACCCACATGGGTAGTGAAAAACAAGAATAAACCTTTGCAGATGATTCACAATACTGGTCATAAAAGGAAGATGCAGTTGGCCCTCCATACCCATGGATTTCACCAGCCTTTGGTCAAAAACAGTTAGAGGTTGGGCTCATGCCTGTAATCAACAAGCTGGAAGTCAACTTGCACTGCATATTGAGACCCTGTTTTCTATACTTCCCTCCAAGAAATCCAACCTATGCTTGTACTTAATCTGTACAGACTTTTTGGTCATTATTCCCTTAACCACTCAGTATATCTATGTAGAATTTGCATTGTATTAGGCATATGAGTAATCATGACTATATAGGAGGATATGTATAAGTATATAGGTTATATGCCATTTTATGTAAAGGATTTGAATATCAGTTGTACCCACAGAGGGTCTTGTGAGTAATCCTCAATTGATACCATGGGACAAATATAATTCAGACTTCTAGAGATAATAAAAACCATATACAAAAATCAGTAGCAACACTAGAAGCTAGTGGAATAACACTTTTAGATGTTTGGAGAAATATTATTTCCAACATATAATTTAATACCTAAAAAACCTATCAATTAAGTATGAGGGTAAAAAACAAACACTTTTTCAGACATGTAAAGCCTCAAAGACTACATTTCATGCTTCTTTCTTGAGGAAGAAACCAGAGTATGTGTTCCATTAAATAAAGTAGAAAACCAGAAAGAAAAACTACAGAATAGGGGCTGGGAAGGTGGCTCAGTGGTAGAGTGCTTGCCTTGCATGCCTGAGGCCCTGGGTTCGATTCCTCAGCACCACATAAGCAAAAAGAAAAAAGTCAGAAGTGGCGCTGTGGCTCAAGTGGTAGAGCGCTAGCCTTGAGCTGAAGAGCTGAGGGACAGCGCCCAGGCCCAGAGTTCAGGCCCCATGACTGGACCAAAAAAAAAAAAAAATATATACCAGACATAAGGCCCAATCAAGGTAAAGAGAATTCTCAAGATAGTAACAGTGAAGGGAGATCTCAGAAGACAGCTAAGATTAGCTAGTTCATACTAGGCAAGTCAAAGGCTCTAGGAGAGATTTCAGGAAAATAAAACTGTAAAACACGTAATTCACCAGAACATTGTGAGTGGAAATTTAGAACAGGCAGGATTATGCATAAATAAGCAGAAAACTAAGCAAGAAATCAAAGCCAAGAGGGGTTATAACTCCAGGAAAACCAAAAATTTACACAGGAAAAGTAATTACAGCTTCCTGCAGGGCTCAGATATGACTATATTTCATCTTACAAGTATAAACTTGGGTTCCTGATTTAAAAATTACCATTGAAGAACTGGAATTAGGAAGTGTGTATGACTACCTAGAACCAAGATTTAAAAAAAGCAGAAAACAGTTTTGCCGGGCTAGGAATATTGCTCACTGGTAGAGAATTTGCATAAGTGTATGCAAGATCCTGAATTTCACCTCATCACTGAAGACAAACAAAACCAAAATTGTCAGTCTGGTTCTACTAAAAACAGGAATCAATGGCAGTGGTTCCAGTATCAAGTGCATCTTTCAGGCCAATTCAAGATTGTCAGTGTGTGGATTAATCCACTCTGGCACAGACACCACAAGTCTGGCAAGGCTTGTTGTGATACTCATAACATTCCCAAGTTTGAGCATCAACCTTAAGAGTTCCAGAAGAACTGTTTGGGCTAACAACATTAGGCCCCAAATTCTTATTACTTTTGACTGAAAGGAGAGAACAAAAGTGGCTTACTTTTCTGGCTTTCCAAAACAATCTCAAGGAGGTTGAGGATTTTAGCTCATTAGAAAAGCAATGCCCTGAGTTCTGTCCTCAGCTGCGGAGGGGGGGTTCGGGTGGTGGCATGCGGGAGGACTCAAAGGGTTGGAGGTATGGTTCAGTTGGTAGAATACTAGTCAGTGAGCCAAAGAATTAGGTATTGAGCTCAAGTCCCAGTCTTGGACACGCACACATTTAAAAAAAGGAAAAAGCCCAAAAAGAATTCAAACTTGCACAGAGTGCATAAAAATGAATACGCCATAGCAATTTGGAGTTCTAATCTGACATCTTGACATTGGAAGAGTAGTTGTAATTGCCTTTTTTCTCCACAGAGCTGAAGGCTGTACTAAAGGCATTACATTTGCCAGAAGTGCTCTTCCACTGAGCTAAATTCCCAACCCTGAAAGAATAGGTCTAATTAGTAAGTGTAGGCTGAATTCATGGCCTGGGGGCGCTGTCCCTGAGTTTTTTTTTTTTCTTGCCAGTCATGGTGCCTGAACTCTGGGCCTGGGCACTGTCCCTCAGCTCTTCAGCTCAAGGCTGGTGCTCTACTACTTGAGCCACAGCACCACTTCCAGCTTTTTCTGTTTATATGGTGCTGAGGAATCGAACCCAGGGCCTCATGCATGCAAGGCAGGCGCTCTACCACTGAGCCACCTTCCCAGCCCTCTCTGTGATTTTTTTTTTTTTTTTTTTTTTTAAAAAAAAGGCTTACTCTACCATTTGAGCCACAGCTCCACTTCTGGCTTGCTGTATGTGTGCGTGTGTGTGTGTGCGCGCGTGCGCGCGCTTAATTGGAGATAAGAGTCTCATAGACTTTTCTGCCCGAACTGGCTTCAAACCGTGATCCTTAGCCTCTAAAGTAGCTAGGATAAAGGCATGAGCCACCAGCTTTAATTAGCACATTTTGATGGGAAGTTTTATACTTGTATGCTCAGATCACTTTCTCAGTGATTTTTGGTGAACATAGGTACAGAGCACTCTCTGCTGGCCAAAGGGGGAAAAATACTTGTACAACATTGCGGCAATTTTTTTTGCCTATGCATTTGGATTTTGTGAACACAAAACGTTTGTTTCCTGGGCAAAGCACACGAGAGCATTAATTTCAAGGTTATGATCAGCACCTACACTGATCAGATAACAATTAACAATTCAGAATAATGAATAAAATGTTCAACAGTCCTCTTTCCTATGCAGGTCTCCCCGCCTTCCTGCTTGCTCCCGGAGGGAGAGGACATACTGCTGGATAACATATATCACTTTAATTCGACCAAATGCATTTCCTTTCTTCCTTTTTGGTAGTGGAGTTCGACCTTGCACTGGCCACAACTCCAACCCATCAGCCAAACTTTACTAATTACGAATTGCTGTCTGTCTTGTTTTTTCATTTTTACGATGGTGGGGGCTAGAGACCGAGTTCCTCGGCGGGTAGAGGGAAGCATCCCCGCGGCCAGGGCCGGAGGGCGCATGCCCCGCGGCGCACGCCCTCCCGCCTCCGCACCCTGCGGCTCCGTACTTCGAGCGCTCTCCCGCACTGCCGCGGCCATCTCGCTCAGGAGCTCTTCCACCACTTCCGGCAGCACGGCGGCCATGTCTCCACGAGCTGCACGCTCTTCAGCAAACGCGAAGGCAAGTGTGGAACCACCTGTGGAAAATTCCCGCCGGCTGCCAGGGCGGAGCGAGACGGCGTGACGTAGGCCTCCGTCACCGCGCACGAAACCCGCGACGATGACGTCACGTCGAGACCAATCCGGAGAACGCTTCGCGCTAGGGGTGGGGCATCCGACCGAGCCGGCCTGCAGTGCGCAGAGGACGCGGCGAGAGCATGTACGCGTTCCTCAGCTGTGGCTTGGGCCGAGGCCTCCTGCGGGCCGCGGGACGGCGGTGGTGGGGCTGCTCCGCACGTCTGCTCCCGGAGCCGGCAGGAGGTCCAAGACCCGAGGCGAAGGTGCCGCCGTCTCGGGTCGCGCTGCACTGCCGGGGCCCGGGCCTGCTGCCGCTGGTAGCAGGTGAGGGGCGCGGGCCGGGCGGGGCCAGGCGGGCGGGGGCAGGGGCGCGGGCCGGGCCCGGTGACCTCAGAGCCCCTTCTCGCAGCGCTCGCCTGGTTCTCGCGTCCCGCTGCGGACGAGGAGGAGCGGCCGCCGGGCGCGGGCGGAGCTGCCGCCGAGGACGCAGCGGACGAGGCGGAGGCCGAGATCATTCAGCTGCTGAAGCGAGCGAAGGTGAGGCGGCTCGCGGGCGGGCGGGCGGGCGGGCGGCCGGCCGGCTGGGGCGGCCTTGCCTCGCGGAGACGTGCGTCCCTTCGTCTCTCGCTTGCCACACCGAGGCGGGGATGGAACCTCCGAGGGGAAAAATTACCCCGAATTAGATGGTTACTGGAAGAGCGCGGGGATACATTCAGGCTGGCAAGTCACAAAAACCTGCAGCAGAGTCGCAGTCTCCGGTGCAGATCGGGACAGCACCCTGGCATCGCTCCTCTGGCCAAACATTTTTGAGACTGTTGTGCCTTAAAAAAAAACCCAAAAACCAATAACACTAACCTAGCTGCAATGGCATTTTTGTATGTTCCACGTAGGGCATCGTGAAATGGAATTTAGTTTTGGTTCTCTTCTAAGTCCTTTTTTTCTTCATGTCCTTTTCCTCTCCTCTCCAGTTTCCATTGGGCTAAATATCTTAGACTTAACGCCTGCGATGTCCAGATTTGTGTTCAGGGTCTGTGATGTGTCACTGTGAGCTCCTCCACCTTTCACTTAACAGTCCTCAGACTAAACTCATGTCTTCAAATGCTTCCCCCAACGCAGTCTTTACTGTCTTTTGCGAGGGGGTAGGGGCTGGGGAGAGCGTGTGTGTGCACCAGTACTGGACCTTGAACTCAGGGCCTAGGTGCTGTCCCTGCAGCCTCAACTCCACTTCTAGCTTTTTGGGGGTGGTTAATTGGAGGTAAGGGTCTCATGGTCAGACCTTCCTGATCCAGTTGGCTTTGAACTCCATGAGTACTCAGATCTCAGCCTCCTGAGTAGCTAGGATTACACCACCCAGTTTCTACCTTTAGAATCTTCTCTTTACTATCTCAGCCAAGAAACCTGATAAGCTATTTTTAAAACTTGTGGTATATTACTATTGATTCAAATACACAGAACTAACTCCTTGTTGGCACCAAATCCAAAATGTTTCTCAAATCTTTCCCCCTTCTGCATTTCTCACCTGTTCCAGCAGTATGTCTTGTCTTCTTGCCCCCTCCCCACAGTCCATCCTCCATTTAGCAACCTGATGTTTTAGAAAATCTAAATCAGATTGAGTGTGGTGGTGCAGTCCAGTAATCTCAGCATTCTAGAGGGTGTAGCAAAAGGATGATGTGCTGGAGACCAGCTTGGATTGCATAGTGTCACAGAGTCTTAAAAATACATAGATTAGATCATACCTCTTCCTTGCTTGAAAACTTTGAATGGTTTCCCATTGCATTTATGATAAAACCCATCCAACCTTACCAACCCATTTGACAATAACCTTCTGGTTCACCATCACCCCATCATGTCTCTTTTCCTTGCATTTCTTCTGAAAGCACCCTTCCGAAGTTCCTTCTTTGACTCTTGCCTGTCCTTCCGGCCTCAGTTTAACTGTCAATTCTTGGGAAGTTTCCCTAACTGCTGACATCACTCCATTTATTGTTTTCCTTTAAAGTTCTTCTTGTGAATTGTAATCAAGTTTATTCTACATAGTCATCTTCAGCTTGCAGGAAAAGAAAAAGAATGGAGGGCAAACAGCTTCCTTATAAAATAGTATGCAAAGAATGTTCATGTTCCTCCTTCCTGCATCTTTGGGTCAAAACTGCTATATGGCCAAGTGAGGCTGGCCTCCCTGCTACCTATAATGCCTGGGGCATAAGTAGAGATTCAGTAGATGGCTGATAAAATGAGAATCTTTCCTTCCCTGCTCCCTTCCTCTCCCCCCTCTCCTCTTTTCTCTTCCTTCCTCCTTTGTCTCCCTTCCCCCCTTCCTTTATGGTATGGATTTTGCACTTGCTAGTCAGGTGCTCTACCTCTTGAACCTCTGTGCCTTCAGCCCAAGAATAGCTTCTCTCTGTACTGGGATATATAGTCATGTCTATTTCTGTCTGGTAACATGTAATGTGCTTCCCTTACATTTAGTGTTATTTTCTTTGTCTTTGCTTTTTAGTTGAGCATCATGAAAGATGAACCAGAAGAGGCTGAGCTGATTTTGCATGATGCACTCCGCCTCGCCTATCAGAGTGATAACAAGAAGGCCATCACTTACACTTATGATTTGGTAATTCTTTTAACCCTTCTGAGCTAATCATGATGAAGGGTAGATACTAGGGAAGAGTTCTACTTCCTAGTTTGTATTTCTCACCTTCAGGATGTCTCCGTCTTCCTCCCCTCATTTTCTTTTTTTTTTCTTTTTTTTTTTTTGTCGCTCGTGGGGCTTGAACTCTGGGTCTGGGTGCTGTCCCTCAGCTCTTCAGCTCAAGGCTAGCCCTCTACCACTTGAGTACTGTCCCACTTCCAGCTTTTCTGTTTATGTAGTGCTGAGGAATCAAACCCAGGGCCTCATGCATGTGAGGCAAACACTCTACCACTGAGCCACCTTCCCAGCATCATATTATTATTTTTTGTAAAAACATGCTCCTCCCTAGAGTAATTTATATCTCAATCCTAGACCCAAAAGAAACATTATATATGTTTCTTTAGTGGTCAGTGGACTTTTGGCTTGTTACCAACAGAATATATGCAACAAACTATTTACTGCTCATATCTTTGCTGTATGAGATTAACTGGACATATTTTCTCTGCTTTGAATTATTTCTATAGAGGGCGAAAGCAAAAGGAATGTTTACCATAAAGGATTATAAATTATTCGGAATTCTGTAATCCAAACTGAACATCAATTTATAATTTGTTTTCAGATGGCCAACTTAGCATTTATACGAGGTCAGCTGGAAAATGTAAGTAATATCTCAGAGTCTTGCAAATATAGTATTCAAACAAGATAGAAGTGTGTCTCTAATGTATTAGTTCATAGGTAGGCTAAAGACTTGAAATCATGTCAGGTAGGCATTTCTGTCTGGTTCAGAAGCCCAGATTCTTTCTGAGATATGTTCTCATCTGCATATATGAACTGATGCACCTCCAGCCTGAAGAAAGGATGGGAGGACAACAAGAGCGATGTATGGGTTACGACCTCCTGCAATGGCTCACAATGGCTCACATCTGTAATCCTAGCTTGTCAGGAGTTGGAGATCAGGAGGATTGTAATATGACACCAGCCAACTCTTGACAAGAACTTCATCATGTGACCACACATAGCTCTAAGGAAGGCTTATTAACTAAAAATTGAGGGGACTTTTGTTTTTTTAACTACGATGATAGAATGAATATTAGGGGACAATTTGTAGCTTCTACTACACGGTTTGGATGAGAAATTAATATCCAAACTTACTTTCTGCTCACCATAGAGTAGTTTAAGATACACAGGATATTTTTTGTTCATTCTTTCTTCACAAGAGTTTAATTTTCTCTGTATATTTGCAAACAATGATACAGACTGGTACTTAGACTTCAGACCCAAGCAGGGCATGGTAGCCACATGCATGTAGTCCCACGAGTTGGGAGGTGGAAACGGGGAAAGTGAGTTTGAGATCACTCTGGCCTAGGTAATAAGACTCAGTTTTAAAAGTAAGTAAAATCTAGGGTTTCATAAATAGTGGGGCCCAAATAAAAGAAACATCTCTCTTATGCTTTTAGGCGGAACAGCTTTTTAAAGCAACTATGAGTTACCTGCTTGGAGGGGGCATGAAGCAGGTAGGGACATAGCCCCATACTATCTACTTATAGAAGCAGTTTGCAAAAGAGTCTTGCTTTCTGAAAACTCCCTGCAGCCTCTAGCATGTGAAGCAAAAAAAAAAGCCACCTTTTGGCTTTTTTGTTTTTTTTTTTTTTAAATTCCTAAACCCATATAAAAATGCCCAATATTTCTGTAAATCAAAATCACAATTTCTAATTCTTGTAAAAAAAGTAAACATTATGGCTATGAGGCCAAATCAGTTAGAAGTTGATCTGAACTACATCATGACAAAGTTCATTATGAATTTTTTTTTTTTTTTTGGCTTTTTCACAACAGGAAGACAATACAATAATTGAAATCTCCCTGAAGCTGGCCAGTATCTATGCTGCTCAGAATAGGTAAGTGTAGTCTGGACCTAGTCTGGCAGTGGCCAGGAAGTAGTGCTGTAGCAAAATACCCTGATTCTGAGTTTATCTGCCTTGATTTTTCCTGAGGAGTCATCTGGGCTTTCAAAAAACTGGATTGTTAACATTCAAAGTGTTTTATATCATCTCTTCGGTTTTCAGGCCTTTCCAATTTTGCCCTGCTGTTTCCATTAGCCTGATGAATGGAGCACACAGTCTTTATACCTGTGTCTGCCCTGTGATTAAAGCTTATCAAGCTTTCTGTTCTGGATTGAAATGAGGAGGGAAGTTAAGAGTTGAGACTTCTTAGAAGAAGAATGAACAATGTAAACTCTGCTGAGGGCCATGGACTTTGTTTTGGAGTTGTTTTGCTGATAGAGGACTTAGTAGGATGACATTGGGTACGAAGTTAAAAGGTGAGATTTGCTCTGTATCATCTCGTGGCTCATTTTCCATTCTGGAAAATCAGTGACATTTTTTTTTTTAATGTCTTAGTAGAGGTTTGGTGTAAGATGTTTTGTTTTAGTGATTTTACCACTGCCTTTAGACATGTAGAGATGACCAAAAGCTAGGTTTCTGGAAGAAGAAATAGCCTGAAGTAGAGGATTGGTAAGGAAATTAGGAAATAGGTGCTAGTTTTAAAATAAGTGAGTCTACATTCTTGTAGTGCCAGCTATGTGGGAAGACTTTGAAACAAGGCAGATGTGTGCCAAAGGCCCAGAACATCGATGAGTAAAGCCTAGGTGGAGTTAGGCAGTGCAACACTAGGATATAAGTGAGGAGCTTCTGGTATAATTTTGGGATGAGTTTAGGGGGAGAGCTAAGACTAGCTTCTCTAGACTTTTACTTTTTGCAGAGGTTGGTGCTGGAGGTTTGGGGTGCTCATTGAGGCCAGCGGCCCTGACACTCGTCCCTGCTGCCCTGATCAATTGCTCTTTCACTTTATTTGTTTGTTTGTTTGTTTGTTTATTTTTGGGTCAGTCGTGAGGCTTGAACTCTGGATTTGGGTGCTGTCCCTGCACTCTTCAGCTCAAGGTGAGCGCTTTACCGCTTGAGCCACAGAACCACTTCCGGTTTTCTAGTGGTTTATTGGAAATAAGAGTGTCTGGACTTTCCTGCCCGGGCTGGCTTTGAACCACGATTCTCAGCTCTCAGCCTCCTGAGTAGCTAGGATTATAGGCGTGAGCCATTGGCGCCTGGCTGCTCTTTCACTTTATAAGGTTAATTCCTTCCCATGCTTAAAACTACAAGTCATTCCAGTGTAAGAAACTTATCAAAGACTTACAATTTGGGAGAAGTACTAACCACCAAAACTTCCCCGAAGTTCCTGTTGGAAGAACTTGGAATCTTCAGTGCAGAGGTGTTTGAGGCTAAGCATTCACTTGAAACTTGGTAGTGAGAGATAATGAGAGACTGCTGGCTATGTCAGTTATAGCAATTTTGGTAGTGTTTCTAGTTTCTTATATCTTAATTTACCTTAGATGACTTAAAAACAAAAACTTCTAAGAACTGAGTATGGTGGTATATGCCTGTAATCCCAGTTCTACTGGAGGTTGAGATGGAAGGATTGAAGTTTGTGACTAGCCCAGGCAAAAATGTTATTCAGAACTTCAAAAGAACAGCTAGTGTGATCATACACATCTTTAATCCCACTTAGGAACCAAGGTAGGAAAATTATAGTTCAAGGCAAACACTAGGGATGTGCCTCAAGTGGTAGAGTCCTCAAGGACTCTCCAAATCATCTCTCCAAAAAACAAAACAATTTGTGAGAAATGGCATCTCAGAAACACTTTCAGCAAAATTTCCTCTTTTAATGCTTAAACCTGCACCAAGAAAAAGAGGATATAACACAGCTGATTATTGATCCTTGCTTCACAGACAGGAATTTGCTCTTGCTGGCTATGAATTCTGCATTTCTACTCTGGAGAAAAAAATTGAAAGAGAAAAGAAATTAACAGAAGACATTATATCAGGTAGGAATCCTGACTCTTATGGACATTGTGTTTTCTCTACAAAGGTCTGCATCATTATATTTTAAGAAAGATGTAATACTAACTGCTTAGGAGGCTGAGATCTGAGGATTGTAGTTCAAAGCTAGCCTGAGCAGGAACATCCATGAGACTCTTTTTTTTTTTTTCATTTTAAAATGTATTTATTAAAGTAGAAATTTAATACTGCTTATTGACAAGTATTATTATCTGCCTGTATAACTCAATTCCTTCATAAAGCATTGTTTGACTGATTAAGGCTAGAAAGCAGAAGGACAGAGGGAGGGCCACATCATTTATCCAACCCCAGCACTTCTGTGGAGAAAAGGAAACATTGTTGGCAGTTCCTTGGGACAAGATAAAAGTGGAAGGTTCCCAGGAAAGTTGAGTTCAGAGTCAGCATCTCTACAAGATAACCTAGGTCTGGCTTTATAGAATAACCCAGGAGTCAAGATCATTTCTGTGCTGCAGGGGCAACCTCCCATCCTTCCAGAATTTGTAGGCAGATGAACAGATGATCTCAAGTGGCATCCATAGACTGAGTGGCCAGATCCAAGGCAGTGGTCCTGACCTCTCTGCCAGACACCTACTCTTAGTTGAATTTTGTGTCCTTTTGGGCTTCCTAACTGTCCTCTTGACACTGCTAAACTGCAACACTGAGATTGGGTTCTTCATCTCATTGTTGAAGAATGAATCTTCAGACAAAGAAGGAGAAGCAAAATGGCAATGATTATTGGAGAAAAATATATGCAGAGCTCCCTCTAGAAGGGAGGGGTCATGAGGAAGGGCACCACCTAGGGTGGGTTTGCACTAGGGATAGTAGGTATCTCTAGGAAAGAGCTTTATGACTCTAGAGATCACTGGACAGCCCACAGGCCATACTAGTTCCTTAGGCCCAATTAGAGGCTCCACTTTCTTGTGTATAACTCCTCCCACTAGGTGCCTGATTCTGTGCACACATCTGGGGGCCAGTCAATCTGCTGTTTACATTTTGGCAATGGGCCAACATGCTTGCAGACACAACCACTCAAATCCAGTCCATGAGACTCTTATTGCCAGTTAACCACCAGAAAACTGGAAGTGGCACTGTGGCTCAAAATGGTAGTGTGCTAGCCTTGAGCAAAAAATCCCAGGATAGCACGCAGACCCTGAGTTCAAGCCCCTGAATGACAAAAAAAAAGAGAGAAAAATATCTCATCTGCAAAATAAGTTATGGTTATAATGTTTCGGTAGAGGGTTTGAAATAAGATGTTTTGTTTAACCCATTTTGGATATAGTGTGAGGTGACCATTGACTGCTGTTCAAGGTGTTTTTTAACCCCTGTTGATGAAAAGTTCATTAATTTGTCTTTCAGCTTTTAGTTATATAGACCCTCTGGGAAATTGGGAAGCAGAAAGGGAAGGCCTTTCTTCTATTTCTTAGTTCAACCACAAGTCAAAATGCTGGATTATTACTGGGGCTAGGTATACAGTGGAGTGGTAAAACACTTTGAATCAGGTCTTGGGTTCCAACTTCTAGCATGGGCGGGGGAGGGGGGGGGCGCTCAACAAAAACCACAGAGACAAAATGCTAGGGAAGAAGAGAAGGAAGTGTATGTTTTTGCACTTCATTCTCTTTCATGGAGGCTAGGAACAAATAGGTAGAAGCCTTTCACACACTCTACAATTTGGGTTTTTGCTAGGGAAACTGCAGTTAGGTCTGTGCCTTAAGACTCCTTTAGTATTTGTCTTCGTTATCAAACAGGGGTCAAGATATCTGTTTCGTTCATTACTAAGTCCTTAGTACCTAGAACAATTGTAGGCATATATTATAATTTAGTAATTACTGAATAAAAGAACAAGCTCAGTAATTCCTGAAGGAATGAACAAAAGACTCAATAAAGACCAACAAGTAAATACAGTGTGGAAGTCAGTGCAGTGTGGAAGTCCCAGGAGGAAATCTGCAAGAAGGTCCAACTATCCAACATGTGAAGTACTTAGATCTTGTCTTTTCAGACATTGATATTAGTTTCTTAAAAGTATAAAACCAGTGCTAAAAGTCATACCAGTTGCCATTGAACGGGGAGAACTCAGAAAAGGATGACATTGACCAAGAAGCATTATACTCATAATCTGACTTGCAGAATTGTAACTGCTTTGTATAACTACTTAATAACAGCAACAGTAATTTTTTTTAAATGTATTAAGATCACCCATCTCCTACTATTAAAAAAACACTACTTTTAATTTTTTAGTATGTATCTTTTTAGGCTTCCCCCTTCTGTATACTTATTTACATTTTAAAAAGTAGAAAAAAATTGTCACTGGTGTCTGGCAGTTTTTCACAAGTAGAAACTAGTTTTTCTCTTTAATTTCTGCTGCCAGATATATAGTATTAAAAGAAAAAATCAAATGTGCGGGGCACTGGTGGCTCAGCCTGAAATCCTAGCTGCTCCAGGAGGCTGAGATCTGAAGGTTGTGGTTAAAAGCCAGCTCAGGTAGGAAAGACTGTGAGACTCTTATCTGCAGTTAATTACCCAAAAAGCTGGAAATGGAGCTGTGGCTCAAGTGGTAGAGTGCTAGCTTTGAGCAAAGAAGTTTGGCAAAAGTGTTCAGGCCTTGAATTCAAGCCTGACTGTCAGGGCATGCGTGCACATGTGTGTGTGCACAAACACACAATGGGGCTATGGCTGGGCTGGGAAGTTGGCTCAGTGGTAGAGTGCTTGCCTTGCATGTTTGAGGCCCTGGGTTCGATTCCTCAGCATCACATAAGCAAAAAGAAAAAAGCCGGAAGTGGCGCTGTGGCTCAAGTTGGTAGAGTGCTAGCCTTGAGCTGAAGAGCTGAGGGACAGCGCCCAGGCCCAGAGTTCAGGCCCCACGACTGGACCCAAAAAACAAAAAAACAATGCGGCTATGGCTCAAGCAGTAGAGCACTAAGTAGAGCAGAAGTAGAAGCTCAGGGACAGCACCAAGGCCCTGAGTGCAAGCCCCACAACCAACCAAAAAAAATTATGTGTGTGTATGTGTATGTTATGTGTGTGTATAATTGCATTATAAGACTTAGGATAACATTTCCTTGCTATACCATCCATCCATCCATTTATTTATTTACTTATTCAAAATGCCAGTCCTGGGTGCTGTTCCTGAGCTTTTTTTGCTTATAGCTAGCACTCTCTTGAACCACAGCTCTACTTCTGGCTTTTTGCTGGTTAATTAGAGATAAGAGTCTCACAAACTTTTCTGGATTTGGACTGTGATTCTCAGATCTCAGACTTCTGAATAGCTAAGATTATAGGTGTGAGCCACCAGTGCCTAGTAACCCATCTGTCTAATTTCAATATTTTCAGAAACTTGTAAAATTGCTCTTTATTGGTTTATTATTTTAGGAAACTATTGACTTAGGGAAGTCTGAAGATTTAGATAAGTTTTTGCTTGTCTGCATTATGAATATGTAAGTAGTGTTACTTATTAAACCAACTGTTCAGTTACATTTCCAATTTTATATGAAATTTTCTTTTCTCTGAAATTAACTCACTTTTTTATTTGCTTGGTGTTTATGTATAACACAAGTTCTTCATTTAACTATAGCACTTAATTTTTTTTCTTTAAGTATTAGGGCTTGAACTCAGGGCCTTGAGCTTGTTAGCTACTCTACCACTTGAATCACACCCCCAGCCTATTCTGCTTTTCTTATTTTTAAAATAGGAGTCTTTGTTTTTGCTGTGTCTGGCTTGGGCTGTGATCCTTCTTTTTACCTTTTCAAACAGACCCACACCACTGTCCTCAGATTTTTTTTTTGTCTGTCCTGGGGCTTGAACTCTGGGCCTGGGCACTGTCCCTCCGCGCTTCAGCTCAAGGCGAGCTCTCTACCACTTGAGCCACAGCATCATTTCTGGTTTTCTGGTGCTTTATTGGAGATAAGAATCTCACAGACTTTTCTTGCCTGGTCTGGCTTTGAACTGTGTTCCTCAGATCTTAGCCTCCTGAGAAGCTAAGATTACAGGTGTGAGCCAACGGTGCCTGGCTTTGTGCTCAGATTTTTATTGGTTGAGATCGAGTCTCACAAACTTTTTGCTCTAGGCTAGCCTTGAACCTCAGTCTTCCCTCTCTGCCTCCCTAATAGCTGCGGCGGCAGGTGGCAGCCTCTGTGTCTGGCCTCGTACTTGCTTTTTTCCATTCCAAGCTCTCCTGGTGTTCTAGAGAACATGGTGCTTCTCGTGAGTGTGTCTGGTCATTGGTATTCATTCATCATCTGCCTTTCCTGTGCTTAGTCACTTAATACATTTTCCTTTGCTTTGAATCTCCCACAATTTTTTTCCGGTCGTTTGTGGGGCTTGAACTCAGGGCCTTGTTGATGTCTCTGAGCTTCTACTGAGCCACAGCTTTACTTCTGGATCTTTTGGGAGTTTAATGGAGGTAAGAGTCTCACAGACTTTCTTGTCTGGGCTGGCTTTGAATAGTGATCCTTAGATCTCAGCCTCCTGAGTAGCTAGGATTATAGGTGTAAACCACTGGCACTTGGCTCCACTATATATATATATATATATATATATATATATATATTTTTTTTTTTTTTTTTTAACCATCTCTCATCTCTCTTGATTCTATTTTTCATCTTTTAGCTTTCATTGTAACTATGTTTTGGGAAGGAGTAGAGGTCAACAGTATTGTTCAATTTAGAACAGTAAATTTACATTGAAGTTCAGTCTTCTGGTAGTGGATATCAAGATAGCATTGAAATCTGTTGGTTCAGAGTACGTTCTTAGCACTGAACTTCCTTCATTAAAAGTAGCACATTTTAGGCTGGGAAGGTGGCTCAGTGGCAGAGCGCTTGCCTTGCATGCCTGAGGCCCTGGGTTCGATTCCTCAATACCACATAAGCAAAAAGAAAAAAGCTGGAAGTGGCGCTGTGGCTCAAGTGGTAGAGTGCTAGCCTTGAACTGAAGAGCTGAGGGACAGTGCCCAGGCCCAGAGTTCAGGTCCCACGACCGGACCCCCCCCCCCCCC